ACCACCATGCCCGAATGAGCTTTCTAATGATGTGGTATCTCACATCCTTCTGCATAGGTGTTGCTTTTATTGGTTGATGAATAAAGTTGTTTTGGGCAATGGCCTAGGAGAGTAAAGCCAGGCAGAAAATCTGAACACAGATAGATAGTAGGTGGTGTCAAGGAGACGCCATGCAGCTGTTGAAGGAGCAACATGTCATGCTGGTAAGTCATAGCCTCGTGGCAATACACAGATTAATAGAAATGGATTAATTTAATAGTTAGAGCTAGCCAACAAGAAGCCTATGACATTGACCAAACAATTATAACTGATAATAACCCTCAGGGTGGTTATTTCTAAGCGGCTTTGGGAATAGGCAGGCAGAAAAAAATTGGTCCGGGGGACCAGCAGGATGGAGAAAACATCTAGCTGTATCTGGCGTCCAACGTGAGGCCAACCCGCCTGATCTGCTACCCACTTCTGCTTGGGGTCAGGAGCAAAACAGCTGAGAACATCCTAATGTGTGTCTGGCTCTGCCACCCAAGTGGCAGGGTCATAACCGGATCCTCACCACTTCCACATTCGTGCACTGTGAAAGGGGCAGGGAGACAGACAACGGGATTGGGCCTCTTTCAAGCACACAACCCTGAAATGGCACATACTGTTTCCTTGTATTTCTCAGATGCCAACACTGTAGAACTCTATCATCTGGCTATGAAGAAGAGAGAAGATAAATCCTTAGCTGAGCAATCAGGTGGACAGCCAGATATCGTAGTTTTTTTCTTCTCTCTTTTTTTAAATATTTATTTATTATGTATACAATATTCTGTCTGTGTGTATGTCTGCAGGCCAGAAGAGGGCACCAGACCTTATTACAGATGGTTGTGAGCCACCCTGTGGTTGCCGAGAATTGAACTCAGGACCTTTGGAAGAGCAGGCAATGCTCTTAACCACTGAGCCATCTCTCCAGCCCCCAAATATCGTAATTTGAGTGAAGAAATGAATGGTGGATATTTGAAAACTATATCTTAATTCTCACACCACTGTTGGGTCTGTGGGCAGAGGTGGAGGCACCACTCCAAGTTCCTAGAACTTGGCTGTCCTGGTGGGGAGCCAGCACTTATTTCTCGTTAGTTTGAGCAAAAGTCTCAGGGCTGATCCAAAGCCATTTTCTTATCTCTAAATCAATCACATTGGTTGACCGATGGGACAGGTCTTGGGGAATGTGTCCACATCTATAAGCAGAGAGAAATTATCTCTTTTTTATTTCTTTTAATTTATCATGTATACAATGTTCTGCTTGCATGTAGCCTGCAGGCCAGAAGGGAGTACCAGATCTCATTACAGAGGGTTGTGAGTCACCTTGTAGTTGCTGGGAATTGAACTCAGGACCTCTGGAAGAACACCCAGTGCTCTTAACTTCTGATCTATCCCTCCAGTCCCACCCCTACCCCCCCATTGTTATAATCCCAGCAACCATGGGCTTTGAATTCCCTATACTCTTAACCACTGGGCCATCTCTCCAGCCTCAAAAAAGTATCTCCTTGAATCTGTCTTTGTCTGTCTTTGTAATTACCTGTATCACTGAGGAAACCCCAGAGAGCAGGGTCAGAAAGGATGGAGCTGTGGCAGGGGAAATAGTTTGTTTCCGGTTTTATGGCCTTGAGTTCACAGGAAAATAAAAGCAAAGGAGTTTAAAACCCAGAGGATCCTGAAAATAAAGCTATGGCCCCAGCAAGAGGAGCGTCAGAAGACAGACCTGTCTGCACTGGCAGAGCCACTCTGCCACAAAGTTGACACGCTGGCAACCTCAGAAGCTTTCTGTTGGTTTTAAGTAGAATCTTGCTATGTATCCAAACTGAAATAACAGTTGTATACCACCACAACTGGTTTTATTTAAAGTAGAGGATCAAGCCCAGGGCTTCATACACACGAGACAAGAACTCTACCACCCAAGATTCCTCTCTGGCCATTTACAGTATGAATAATAGAAAACACAAAATTAGACATTAAAGTATAGCCAGGGTGAGGGTGTGCCTTCAGTCCCAGCACTAGGAAGGCAGAGGCAGGTGGATCTCTGTGAGTTCAGGTCAGCCTGGTCTACAAAGCAAATTTCAGGACAGCTAGGACTGTTACATAGAGACACCCTGTCTCAAAAAAAAAAAAAAAGGAAAAAAGCTTAAAACAAAAGCTATTAAAGTATATAGAGTTGTGCTGGCATAAAGTAAGTGTTCAGTAAACAAGATAGATAGAAAAAATATAAAACAGGATTTTTTTTTTATTTCTCGAGACAGGGTTTCTTTGTGTAGCCCTAGCCATCCTGGACCTAGCTCTTGTAGACCAGGCTGGCCTCGAACTCACAGAGATTTGCCTGCCTCTGCCTCCCAAGTGCTGGAATTAAAGGTGTGTGCTACCACCACCCAGCAAAACAGGTTCTTATCAAGACATATAAAAGAGAGGTGTGGCAGATTATTGTGTACACACACACACACACACACACACACACACACACACACACACCCCAAAGCTTCTTTTAGGAACATATAAAATGGAAATGAGGACTAGGGCCCAGTGACTTTGCTCACCTACATGAGCAGAGACACAGCAGTGCACTGGGCAGAGGGCTTTGGGCTTGTCTAGGGTCCCTCATTTACTCCCAAGGGGACAGGGTCCACTATCCTCCCCTGTCCCGCGCTACCGCCCGCAAGAACGACGCGGGACACTTAGGATTCTTCTGCAGTAAAGCTTTATGCGTCTTGAGAGGGAGAGCATAAGCTTACATGGCGGAGACCCAAAATGAGGGGAACCCAGCCCTTATAAAGGAAACAGTCCTCGCTTCTGACGTGTCACTCTTGGATTGGTCCGCTGCCCATTATCCCAGATGATGCCTCGGGAGTAGGCAGGGACGCAGCGGTAGAGAGTTAACAAGCACATGCGCTGGGATTAAAGGCGTGTGCTACATCACCTTGAACTCAGAGATCTGCCTGTCTCTGCTTCCCAGGCATCGGGACCAAAGGCGTGTACTACCACGCCTTGAGGTCACAGAGGTCAATCTGCCTCTGCCGCCCAGGCATCAGGACTAAAGGCGTGTACCGCCACACCTTGAGGTCACAGAGGTCAATCTCTACCTTTGTTCCTAGAAGCAATGGAGAATGTGGTCCGGCCCTCCACACTCCCCCATCCCAGTGTAATTAGGTGGACCCCTCACAGCCTGGGAGCCTGAAGGCTGTCAGGTCAGCCCAGCAGCTAATAAGGTCTTCCCCATTGTTGCTACACAACAAGACCATGCCTTTGAACAAAGGAAGGAAAATGGAGAGATGGCTTAGCAGGTAAAAAGGACTTGCTGCTTTTCCAGAAGACCTGAGTTCAAGTCTCAGCATTGGGTAATAGCTTCAGGTCATTAAGAATTGAATCTTCCTATGTATGTGTGTATGTATATATACACGTGTCCCCCAGCCCCTATAAAAAAAACTCCCTATGTATGTATGTATGTATGTATGTATGTATGTATACATGTGTCCTCCAGCCCCACTAAATGCACTCAGCCTTCATCCCATGGAAATGTTGGGGCCCCTTGCTGTCCCAATAAAGCAGTCTCAGCCTGTTGAAATGAAGTCTGTCTTCCTCTCTGCCTAATTTTTCTTACACTCAACACCCACAAGATTCACAATGGCCTGTAGCCCCAGTTTCATGGGCTCTGACCCTATCCTTTGGCCTCCAAGACACCAGCCTGTCCTTGGGTTCACATACACACATGAGGGAGACATGGCTAAGTAGTTAAGAGCACTGGCAGCTCTTTCACAAGGCTTGGGTGGGTTCCATTCCCAACACCTACATGTTGGTTCACTACCATCTGTAACCCCATTTCCAGAGGAACACAAACACACACCTACAAGGCTCTTGTGGCTGTGCACACCTTTAATCCCAGCACTGGAAAGGCAGAGGCACACAGATCTTTGGAGTTCCAGGGCAGTCTAGTCTCCATACCCAGTTCCAATCTGTCAGGTATAAAGAAATTCCTTTCCCCAAATTCTGCCAGTTAGACAAAAGCCACTAAGTTCCTCAAGAACGTATGAAACTTGTTGTCATCTACCAAAGAGCCACTTCCCTTAGATCTGGCAGAAGGGACTATGGCTACCTGTGGCACTTCCCAGCAAATCAAAGTCCATGCTGGCTTCCTCAGTGTCACAAGCACCTGTGACCCATTTCAAAGCCCATCCTAGCATCCCAGCCCTTCTCCCCTTCTCCCCTACCCCAAACTCCCCCAGCTTCAGCTACACATTCTCCTTATAACCCAGCTATTTTCAGTGTTCTCTCTGCTCTGCTCCTGCTTCTCTCACCGTGTTTTCTCTATTCTCTATCCCCATCTCTCCCAGACAGCCTGGCCAGGTCCAGGCTACTTTCTCTCTCTGCTCTGGACTCTACTAGATGCCTCTGACTGTCCTCTCTTTCATATATACGACAAAAATCTTCCCCTTAGCCATACCATGGAGCGGTCATGTCGTCAGCAAATACATTTTCCAGCTCCTAAAATAATAATAAATCTTTTTTTTAAAAGATTTATTTATTTATTTAGTATGTGTACATCATTCCTTCCTTGTGTGCCCACATGCCAGAAGGGGGCGCCAGGTCTACATTATAGATGGCTGTGAGCCACCATGTGGTTGTTGGGAATTGAACTCAGGGACTACTGGAAGAGCAGTCAATGCTCTTAACCACTAAGCCATCTCTCCAGTCCCAATAATAATAAATCTTAAAACAATAACAACAACAACAACAAAACCCAGCTTGTCCTTTAGGCCTTTGGTGACCCATAGATTCCAACCCTTCGCTCTCCATTTCCCCCCCGCCTGGACTCAGGACTGACTGTCTCCTCCAACCCTCAGCCAGAGTCTAATAGTTTGGAGCCTTCCTCTTCCCTGTCCCTCAATTCTCCAGAATTCTCAATGACACCAATTCCTTTAAGAGCGGACCAGCGCAGCAGCGACTCAGCACACCCTCCTCTCAACTAAAGCCGCCGCGACGTAGTGCTGCACCAACCAATCGGATGCGGCAACACCGGAACACAGGAGGCAGGACCTCTGGCGGTTTGTTGCCTTGCCCGTTAGTGTCGGGGCGGTGCTTCCGGCGGGCTTGCTGCAGTTGCCTGCGACCCAGCGGTCATGAGCCGGCCCAGCCGGCTGCAGAGGCAAGTTCTGAGCCTGTACCGAGAGCTGCTGCGCGCCGGGCGGGGGAAACCGGGCGCCGAGGCACGGGTGCGAGCCGAGTTCCGGCAGCACGCCAGCCTTCCGCGCTCCGACGTGCTGCGTATCGAGTATCTGTACCGCCGGGGACGGCGCCAGCTACAGCTGCTGCGTTCCGGCCACGCCACGGCCATGGGTACCTTCGTGCGCCCGCGGGGCCCGACAGAGGAACCCGGCGACACGGCAACCCCAGGGACCACGCGGAAGGATAGCGATGGCCCAAAGAGTCCTTGTGAAGGCGCAGGGGCACAGGAGACGAGATCCGATGGACGGTGACCGATCCAGAGAAAGGTCCCTCCGGATAGTTTAGGGAAGACCGAGACCTCATCTGATGGAAAGTATGTCTTGAGAGACAGCCGAACTTTCTTGATGCATGGTGAAAGATTCGACATTTCCCTCACCAAGAAGGTTCCAGGCATGCTGTGGCGCCGGTAGGCTGCACCATGTATGCTGTGATGCGCTAACCCAAAGTCAAAGAGAGCACAAACGCACTTCCTCTTCCCCACGGACGAATAGGAGCCTAGACACCTCTCTTGACTTCTGAGAACACACCCACCAGGCACTCTTGAGGGCCTGCCCTTTGCTCTTTGCTCACGGAGAAAAGCAGACTTTTAACTGAGCAAGTTTAATAAATACCCTCATGAACCGTGAGAAACTGGCAGACCGTCGTGGAAAACCGTTGTCCCATTCATTGTGCCAACCCAGAATTGTAAGAGAGGGTTGACAGTAGCTCATCACAGCTGATCAGCCAAAGGCTCCTGGAGAATCCCTCCTGGGCGGTTCTAAGAGGCAATCTCTACTCCTGTTTGTCTTCCTCAGGATTCTTGTAGAAAGAAAATAAATGTGAGGTGTGCTTACTTTCTTGACAATTTTCTTAAGATTTTCTGTCCTGCTGAGCGGTGGTGGTGCACGCCTTTAGTGGGATTAATGGGAGGCAGAGGCAGGCAGATCGCTGTGAGTTCGAGGCTAGCCTGGTCTACAGAACGAGTTCCAGGACAGGCTCACTCTAAAGCTACATAGAGAAACCCTGTCTTGAAAAACCGGGAAAAAAATATTCTATCCTTAGAGGTTTTTGGGTTTTGTTGTTGCTGCTGTTTCTTTTGAGACACGGTCTTGCTATGACGTAGCCTAGACTGGTATCAGCATTGAGTTCCTTCTGCCTCTGCCTCTAAACTCTGGAAGAACAAGCCTGTACTGCCATGCCAAGGGTCGTGAGGCAAGTGGGAACAAAAGGGAGGAATATGGAGCCCCAGCTGAGACTTGCTGTGTGTCAGAAAAAGAGACTATTACTCTATTTACATATGGCTGCTACCTCAATTTTGCTACCCCTCACCATGAGGTTTTAGTTACCTGTTCGTCTCTCAGCCTCAGTTTTGTTTATCAAGATGATCTTGATTGGTTTAGTTTTTGAGACATAGATTGACATATCTCAGTCTGGCCATGTAAGCGATGATGTACCCCCAGAACGCTAGGACCACAGGCATGTTCTGCCACAACACAGGCTGGTGTGTTTGCTTTGTGGTTCTAAGCATGAACCTAGCTGGGGACTTATGCTTGCTAAATAAGTGCTCTAACCACTGAGCTTCATCTGCCCTTGGTGCCATGAGCTACATAGAGACACCTTGTCTCAAAATAAAGAGAGAGAGAGAGAACTAGGCGGTGGTGGTGCACGCCTTTAATCCCAGCACTTGGGAGGCAGGTAGGTCTTAGTGAGTTCGAGACCAACTTGGTCTACAAGCAAGTTCCAGGACAGCTAGGACTGTTACACAGAGAAACCCTGTCTCAATAAACCAAAAAGGAAGGAAGGAAGGAAAAGAAAACAGGGCCAGAGAGATAGTTCAGTGGATAAAGGAGTTTGGTGCCAAGCCTGACGAACTGAGTTCAAATCCAAGGGACCACACAGTAAAAGGTGAGGACTAACTATGGCAATCTGCCCTTTGATGTCCACATGCATGTGTGCATACACATAAATCAATAGATAATGTATTCAGAAAGACAGCCCATAAGGACAGATACGCTGATGCATTCCTTAGCTACTGGTTTACACTCTCACGCTTAGAGTCTCCTAGAAGCCACCGCTTCCCAGACCGTTACACAAAATACCCTTTTGTGTATTTCCAGTATTCATTTCAATTTTCTTTAAAGACAAACTTCCTTTTTAGCCTCCATGGTCCCAGAAGAACTGACTGTGACCCCCGGTGAAGGTGGAACATGAGGTATAAGCCAGAGGAGCCCTGCTTGGGACTTTGTGTGGAAGTTTAAAGGGAGAGGGACGCTATTGGCTGCTAAATTGATGGGACAATATGGCTACTAGGTTATGAACGAAGTGGGGGCGGGTGCAGAGATGGGGGCGGGTGCAGAGATGGAGACATCATTTGGGATTTGGTTATGCCAGAAGTCATGAATTTCTCAGTTATCCACACAACTAAATTCCCAGTTCCATTAAAGTCAGGGCAGACTTGGCTTTAGTCATTTGCTCCTGTGTGGCCTCAGCCCTGATTTCTGTTTGCCCCTAGCTACAGTGGGCCTTGTCAGGGTTGTGGGAATTCAAGGTCTATGTTCTGTGTGCAGCTTGGAAACCCACACAGAGAGGAGCCTTGTACATCTGGGGCAGTCAGGGAGGAGGGGCTGTGCTCAGTGCACATCTGGGGCCAGCACAGGACTCTGCCTCGTTCTTGTGTTTCCGTCTGTTCCCAACTCTTCCCCTGTACCTTAGGCTTGAGACTATACTAGCCTCAAGACCTCAGGAATCTGTACTAAAGGTGTGGCTCAATGGTGGAGTACTTGCCCGGCATGTGCCAGGCCCTGGGTTTCATTCCCAGCAATACAGAACAGAAATATTAACTAGGCCTGATGGCGTACATCTATAATCTCAGTCCTCTGGCGGTTGAGGAAAACTGGGGGTTCAAAACTGCCCTGGCCTGTGCGGTAAGACCCTACCAGGGAAAAATATCTCCCAGAAAAGAGGGTGTCTCACAATTTTGAGCAAGTGATAACTCAGCCTGCACCCCTCCCTGTAGAATATGGGCACATCCCCAGAATGAATGTGAGACCACACGGGTGTTGGCTGCTCACCCACAGCACCTGCCTCAGCCTCGCACCTGCCTCTAACTTCCGATGGCAGGTGCCATCTGCGCTATTCTTTTTCTCCCAGCCCCCAGAGACGGGTGTTCACAGGAAGGATAGGCAGACAGGACATATTAGGGAGTCTGCCTCCCCAGGAAGAGACCTCTCCAGGGAGGTGTGGAAGCCTGGAACAAGTTCGAGTGTGCTCCCCACGGTTTCCCAGGGTCCCCAGCCATTCGGTACTCTGGGTACCAATAGCAGCCGCCAGCTTCTTCCCTTTCCTGGACCGCATCCTCCTTCTCCACCCACTCTTCCTCTTCTCAGCTCTGGAACCAACAACTTGGGCTTTAATATTGCATTACAACCTGGGAAACCTCAATTAAGGTACGATCCTTCAGTTCTGTGTTCTACTCTCAGATACAGGAGTGTAGAAGAGGCCATCGAAACATATCCAGGTTGTCTTGTCTGTTTCCAAGTTCTCAAAGCACTCAATGTTTTCAGACATCTTTGGAAAAGTAACCATTTAATACACATGTCTGGGCCATGGACTCAGATTGGAGGGAGACCATTGACATAGCTGAGCACCAGGTAGGGTGTCCTGGCCAGTCGGGCATGAGAACAGCAGGGGACCCCTGACAAGGGCAGCAACAACGTGACACCCACCAGAAGGAAGAAGAGAAGGAGAAAGAAGAGCGTCAGGGGTCGCCTGGAAGCAGAAGCAGGGACCCTGAGAAGAGATACAGATTATTGAGAAGGGTGGGCTGCCATCATGACCCCTCTTGCCCACATCCCTGCCCCATTCTCACCCAGGATCAACCTCCAGCATCACATCCGGTGGACTGGGAGATGCTTGTCTCTTCTTGTCCTGAGGTAGACAGGAGCCAGCAGCAGAATGAATGGCAGTAACACTTAACGTGGGGACATCTTCTCTTTACTCTAGACCTACAGGGCTAGCTTTATTTTCCTTTCCTGGTACTCTTGAACTGCACATGAATTTAAAGTGTGGTGAGTGTCTGTCCATACCTGTCCTTCGTGTATCCACTGCTCTTTTCCTGATAACATTGCTGGGATGGTGTGTGGGTGTGTGGGTGCCTCTACACTCAGGCCTTCAGAGTCATGTTAAACTGACTTCCACTCTTCCCTCATCCATGATGGGGCATGTGACTCAGACCTGGCCAATCAGAGCACTCTGAATAGTTCCAGGGTGCAGCCTGTGACCCAAGCTGGCCAGGTGAAGTCAGGCCTGGGACTTTGGCCACTGCTAGTAGGTCAGGGGTCATAAGGGTAGGTTAGTAAAGCAGAGAGAAGGGACTGTAGCGACTGGGGCTGGAGAGGAGGCCAAAAGACAGAGATTGAGCCCTGATAACATTCTAGGTCCTGAATTGGTGACGTGTGTAGCAGTCAAGACGGGTTGGATCTCTTTTACTTGCCATCAACATCCTCTACCGCTCCTGGCTCACCTGAGGCTTCCGAAGACGCCTTCGGTGGTGAGCTGCTAAATGTTTCCGGTGGCCGAGCCCCAACGTGAGCAGGTCCTGTGGGAAGAGAAAGGCTCGTGGATCTTGGAAGACTGGAAGCATGGTTTACAGAAGGGTCTGGAAGGAGACGAAATTATGCAGGTACACACAGCTCTCATGGGGAAATCAGAGGGGCGGAGCCCAGGAAACCAAGAAGAGAGAAACTACTTGTTTATTCAGTCAACAAATATTTAATGAGTGTCTGTTACACACTAGGCACAGTTCTAGGAGACATGGTAAGGATGGAAATGGGCAACATCCTGGTCCCTGGGGAGATGAACATTCTACCCAAATTAACAAGTGAAGTATCATATCAAGCTGCGGTAAGGAGTATCAGGAAATAATGACTGGAAATGCTAAGTTGGGTCACATCAGCTCTCTGGAGAGGTGACACATGAGGAGGCTGGACTGAGAGGGGAGAGGTGATCTGGGCATGCATCCAGGGCTTAGGTGGGAGTGAGGCTGATGTGTTCGGAGAGGCAGGATTGTGTCTGCGGCACAGGGAAGAGCAGAACAACAGGACAAAGGTTAAGAGGAAGGAGAAACAGAGCACGAGAATCATGGTGATGTTTATGGTGGACATAGATAGGTGGGCATGCCAGTGCATGCCTATAATCCCAGCACTTAACAGACTAAGACATGAGGATTGTGAGTTCAAAGCCAGCCTGTGCTACCTAACGTGAATTGTCTAAAAGAAGAGAGACAGAGAGGCTTAGAGGGGGAGACAGAACCAAGTCTTCCTTGAAAGAGACGGCCACACTAAAAAGTGCAGAGGTGCCCTATGGTGGCCAGCCAAGTAGGGGGGCCTTTGTGGGGGCAGATCTCACCTCAAGGCCCTGTCCGCTGCCCTGGGGTCCCCTGTAACCACACAGCTCACAGGGAACTCCTGGTATCCGAGATATCTTTTTCCCTGAGGGCCCAAGACCCCCAACATCCCCTGCTGGGTCCCATTCCAACTCTGCAGGAGTCGGGTAGGTACTAGGTGCCCAGGGCCCCCAGATTCCACCAGGTGTTGGCCCGTCAGAGTCTCCCTCAACTTCCAAGTCCTGGTCCAGGAGGTTGGCCTTCTCAAGCACCTGGAGCAGAGGATAGATGTCATGGGAGTTGGGGAATTAGGGCCTGGGCTGGGGGCTACCAGGGCAGACCCTACCAGGCTGTAGCTGATCAGCTGGGCCTGTAGCTGCCAGAGTCGTTGAAAGATGGTATCTCGGTGGGTTCCCAGGGCCCTCAGGACCCGCTCCAGAGATGCCCAGGCCCTGGGCTCACTCCTCTCTGCCAACCCCTCACCAAATGCCAGTAATGCATCCACACGCTCGGCTGCCCCTCGTAGCTCTGCCTGTAGGGCCTGAGACAGACCGTTAGACACTCTCACACGTTGACAGTGATACCAGGCCCCCCCCAAACCTAGAGTTATCTCCCCCTCCATGCCCTATGCAGAAGGCAGAATATGTACTAACCCCACGTTCCACCCCGGGAAGCTTGCACCCATGCCTAGGACTCTGCCTGCTCTCCCATATCCTGGCCTTCCCCTGCCCACCTGTAGCTGGACAATCCTGCTGTGGGCCAGTGTCCAAGATCCCAGGCCTTGTTCCAGGTCCTGTAGCTGGAAGCTCAATCCCAACAGACAAAGATGGAGGCTGTCCTGCTCAGTTTCTAGTACTTCCAGGCCAGAGACAGCATGCTGGGGATTTCAGGGGCCAAGTCAGGGCCAGCGCGACACTACCCTCTCCCATCCAGGCTGCTGCTCTGTAGGCGCTTTTCTGGAGCACTGCCCATCTCCAGAGCAACCCCGGGGACTGCTCCCACTGGGCAGCCTTTCACCCCAAGGTTGGAGACAACTAAGTCAAGATCTTCAGGCTCTCGAGCCTTTTAGAAACCTCTTCATATGGGTCTAAACTGGGAGGGGTAATGGAGCAGAATGAGGCTATGCTAAGGCCATTAATGAAATTATGATGTCCAGTTTGGAAATGGAGATACATATTTAAAATCCCAACTCTCTCAGGCAAGAGAACTGAAGGTTCAAGGCCAGCCTGAGCTACACAGTGAAAGCCTGTCTCAAATCAGGAGGTGGGGGAAGCTGGCTCAGTGAATAGTGTTGTCTGTGGTGACTCGAGTTTGGATTCCCAGAACACAAAGAACCGAGCATGTGGCACCGTTCACCACCAGTGCTGGAGAGGTGGAGGCCGGAAGGTCCCTGTGGCTCACTGGCCAGCCAACCTGGCCAAATCAGTGAGCTCCAGGTTCAGTGGAAGACCCTGTCTCAGAAACATGGTGGAGAGTGACAAGCGGCATTGCCCCTCTGGGCTCCACAGGCATGTGCACCTGTCCACATTTATGCACACACAATAAATACACAAAAATTTAAAAATATTTGCAGTACTTCTGTGCTGATTGGCAAACAAATATCCTTACAGCGTCCCTTCCCCCACTGACACCCAACACCTCCTCAGAATCATTTGTTCCTAGAGCAAGAGGCATATTCTAGGGACCGGAGGAAGTGGGACCGGCCCAAAGGGTGTGGCCAGCTCACCTCACGGCTCTTGCCCCCATCTTGATGCTCACGGGAAGAGGCCAGGGATAGTCTTCGGGCGCTGCTGGCAGGCTCAGTGTCCTTCAGTTCACCTATGACGTGTTCAGGAGGACCCAAGGAGACCTGGGCCTGGTCTGACCTAAAGATAAGGAATGCTGATGTGGCCCCCGTATGAGCCACTGTACCTTATCTTCCACCCAAACCCCATTCCCAGTTTCCACCATGTCCTTACACATGTCCTTACACATGGTCGCACGTGGCCCTTTCCACTGCCCCCTCCCTTGGAGCCAGATAGCAAGCCCCAATCCCCACCTGTTTGTCTCCTCTGCAGGTATGATGGTACATACAGCAACGTCCAGCTCCCTAGGAGCACCCAGGGGATGACTGAGGGGCTCTGAGGAGAGTCCATGACCAAGAGTTGGGGACAGAGCCATCGCTGTGGACTCGGGGCCAGTCAGTCAGCGTCTCTTTCTCGGCCAGGCCCCCATGCTTCTTCCTCAGCAGGAGATTTCCAAGCCGGAGGCTACTGAGAGGCCCAGGGGCCGGCCTGGCTCCACCCCTTCCAGCAGGAACCTGGACCCAAGAAACCTGATGCCCTGCTGAGGTACAGAGATACTTAACTCCTTCCTCCCCATCAGGAGAACCTAACCTTCCCAAATAACCACACACACACACACACACACACACACACACACACACACACTGCCGCCATCCCTTTGACACAGAAAACTCCACCCATCCCCTCAATCCCAGCATCTTGTCACCTTCAGGGACCCATGTATCTGACCACTGGGGCCCATCCCTTTGTCTAAGCACCTGGTAACTCAAGCCTGTCTGTCATTTCAGGCTAGAGAGTCTCATGTTCAAAGCCAGCCTGGGCAACTTGTGGAAACCCTGTCTCAAAACTAAAAAAGGAAATTGTTGCTAGGGTTATAGATTAGCTGTGCAGCACTAAACTATATATACACTATATATAAACAACATTTGTCTAGCATCCAAGAAGCTCTGGGTTCTATCCCCGTATTGGAGAGGGGGCGGGGAGGAAGGAAACCACAGCATCTGTTCCCACCTAGTAAAAAAATCCAAAACAAGAAAAGTATTTTCGGTTTATTTGGAACGGCGTCCTCTCCACGGTTTCCACAGTTACTGGGAAATAAATAACCCTGGACGGCCACCTCTACCCTAGGGTTCCAAAGTAACAGAACGGGCAGGACTTGAGCAGTCACTTGCTCAGCAAGAGGCTGGCGCGCAACACGCGGGGCACACGGCGAATGGTCAGGGAGACGCGGGTGCCGCGTACCAAGTGGGCTCCGGGCAGCGCGGATTGGCACGCGGCTGCATTTGGCGGCAGCGAGGCGGCATCCAGCTCATCCACAAGGGTGGCTGCGATGCCGTGGAGCAGGTGAGTGTAAGCAGTGCCCCGGAGCACCAGCAGGCTGCGCGGTTCCACCAGCAGCGAGGTGATGGGCTGTGGAGACGGCCGGGGCTGCGGAAGCCGGTTGATGGTCAGTAGATATCCCGAGTTTAAAAAGTCAGCAGGAGTCAACAGTTGGTCAGGGGACAAAGGGCCAGCAAGGCCCCAGGGTGGGTGAAAGCTTTGGTGGCTGAGGAGTGGCAATCTACAGGTTCTGGGGACAAGGCTATGGGGGAAGGAAGCCCTGTATTTATGTGTGTCTAGTCCTTGGGGAGGAGGCGGGGCCTACGCTGCTGATGAAGACATCAAGGGTCACTACACCTTGAGAACTTCAGCGGGCATCGGAGAGACTGGGACAGAAATGGGCACTCCCAGGGATCCATGCAGAGGTTAGCTGGGAGTGCACTGCTGGGGCCAGGCTCTGGTAGAGGTTAAAGGGCGTGGTCAGGACTGGGATGTTAAAGACCTGGTAGCCCGAGGTGTACTGGAGCATGGGGAAGCATTTAGAGCTAGGAGAGATTTTAGTCAGGAATGGCATTGCAGGAGGCCTGTCTGAGTGGGAGGGGTGAAAAGAGGGAAATGCAGGGAGGGGGGCTGAGAAATATCAGTCCCAGGTGTTCAGGCGAGGATTCTACGAACACTGGGGTATCAAGAATGCTTGATTTAAGGGCTACAAGTCAGATTGGGTTGTTAGGTGTGCCCAACACAGCCATGTGATAAAGAATTGAGGAGAGTCTGGGAGTCACAGAGCATATGACCAGAGTAGCAAGACACCAGTGTTGAGGTGCCTTGCACGTACTATACAGCATACTGGAGCCAAGCATGGGGGCACAGGCCTGTAACCCCAGCACTTGGGAGGGTGGGGGCAGGAAGTTGGCAATTGTGAGGCCATCCTGGACTACATAAACCTTGCCTCAAAAATAAATAGTAATAATTTTTAAAGAGTCTGTTGAAACACTCTGTTGAGATCAAACGGTTTGTGGGTGTGTCTCAGTCGTCAATATCACCAGTCATGTAACACCTCAGAGAAGTAGTAGGGATCTGTGATCATTGTGGCAGCTAGAGCGTCACACAGGTCAACTGGTTGGGTATGGGTGGGCTGGCTCTCTGGGAGATACCCAGAAAGTAGGGATACCCAGCCAGGGACAGGGGAACATGTCTGGGTGTCAGGAATCGTCTGGAGACAGAAGCAGACTGTCCTGGAGCATATGGGATGTCAGGTGTTGGAATGCCCCAAATGCTTGGGACATTATCTTAGGACCCACCTGTTCTATGGGGACATCATCTTCTGGCTGCCGAGGTTCATAGAAATCAAGGACAGTGTGGGAGCCCAGGCTGATGGTGCTGACGGTTGGGTAATACAGTGGTCCATCTTCATGAGGCTGGGGAGGAAAGGGGCACGAGGAATGGCCAGGGCAAGAGCCTACCCCACTCCATTAAATCAAAGTGGGGTTCCCAAGCTAGGATAAGGAGGTAAGTGCCTAGGTGGGAAGTGTAGCTGCTCAGTGAGGGTGGGCAAACATAAAGGTTACCCTTCCTCTTAATGATTTGGAGATCTGGGGGAGGTAGGCACCAAGGGAATTGGGATGAGGGTATGTGGTTACCATGATGCCCTCCCCAGGCAGATACTGGTTCACAAGGACATGGTTAGCAGGGAGACCCCCAAAAAGGCTGAGGTCAGACACTTTGTCCACATAGCGCTGAAGCCATGGAGGAAGTCGCTCAGGAACCATCCCCCGGGGATGGGGGAGCCCACCTGCAGAGTACAAAGAAGCTTTGGCATCTGGTGTCCCCATTAGGGATACTCCAGGGGTTGGAAGCATCCCTCCCCACTGAGTTTTGGAGACCTCACTACTGGACCTTTCTGAAGTTGTCTTCAATGCACTTGGCCCTTAGAGATACTCCCAACCACTCAGTAAACCCCAGTCCCACAAGGCCACCACCAAGCCCTGAGTCATCCTGGATCTGGGACCCCTGGAATGTGGAGATAGCTCCACATTTTGAAACCACTGGAACTGAGCCCTTCCTCACATCCTTAGCTAGGAGCACTTACCCCAGTTCTGCAGCTTTCTTCCAGACAGCTGGGTCCACTTTGGCTTTGGGGCATTGAAAACCTAGGAGGTGGGGAATAGGTTTTCAGGATCTTCTCACAAACGCTCGCACAGGGGCCTTCTAGTTGGGGCAGAAACAGGCTGTCTGGAGCTTGTCTGGAGGTTCCAGTTGGGGACAGCAGCTTTTTAATATAACCTGGCTGAAGAAGAATGATCCTCCACTATCAAGAGTTTAGCTTCAGCTCAGTGTGGTGGCACACTCAGGGTAGGCAGAGGCAGGCAGGCAGGCGAATCTGTGAGTTTGAGGCCAGCCTGGTCTACAAAGTGAGCTGTTACACAGAGAAACCCTGTCTCAAAAAAAAAAAAAAAGCTTCGCTCCAAGGTGGGGATACTCATAAAGACATGGGAAGCTCAGGGACTAGGCAGCCAATCAGCTGCCTCGACCTTGGCAATCATGGGGTAACAGATGCTCTATCCAGACTGTACTCACAGCTGGAAGTGGTATTCTTCTCTTGGTGTGCTTTGTTCCCAGATTTTTTTTTCCTTTGAATAGGGTCTCTGTATCCCAGATTAGCCTTGAAATCCCTACTGTGAAGGGTGTGTGACTGAATTCCTGACTCTCCTACACCCACCTTCCCAGTGCTGGCATTATAGGCGTGTGCCACCACACCCAACTTGGAATATCACAACTAGGGAGAATGAGCTCTGAAACTTTCTTGTTCCCAAGGCTCTAGGGTTGTTCTAAGTTGTTCTTGTCAGGAATGTGATCTCAATAACACTCTTGTTTTAGAGGTTAGACTGGGCTAACTCAATATAGAGAATGTGGGTTTCACAACTGCATCCTTGGGCTGGTGGAGGTGTGCCTCAATGGTAGAGTGTATGCCTAGCATGCAAAGGCCCAGATCCCACACCCTCTCCCCAGCAGGAACACACACACATGCTCGCTTGCAGGCACGCATCCTCCTTCCAAAGAATATATTTGCTTTTCTTCTAAGCCTCTAAGGAAAGTTCTTTCTTGTTTCTTTTGTTATCTTTGCTTTGTTTTGTTGCAAACAAAAGCTCACTAGACAGGACTGGAGAGCTTACTCAACGGTTAAGAGCACTGGTTGCTCTTGCAGAAGACCCAGGTTCACTTCCTAGCACCCACCTGCTGGCTCACAACCATCTGTATCTCCAGTTTCAGGGGATCCGCTACACCTTCTAGCCTCCTGGGGCGCTGTGCAGAGGCAGTACACATACATACATGTAGAAAAAAAACCACTCATACATGTGAAAAATTCTTTAAAAATCTAAGAAAACTAGACGGATCTCTGTGAGTTCGAGGCCAGCCTAGTCTACAAGAGTTAGCTCCAGGACAGGCTCCAAAGCTAGAGAGAGAGAAACCCTGTCTCGAAAACCCCCACCTCAACCCTCCAAAAAAAAAAAAATCTAAGAAAACAAAAGTCCTGAAATTTGGGATTCTCCTGCCTCGGCTTCCCTCTTGCTGGGATTACAAGTATGTGTCACAGCTGGCTCAGAAAGCTCTTTGGAACAGACCAAGCAATGGCTGAAAGAGGGACAGAAGCACGAAGGTGCTGAGACGCTCTCCTCGCCGGGGTTTTCACTGGCATTGCAAGCGCTCATACGGGGACTGAATATGGCAAGAGGGGAAAGATGGACGAGAAGGGCACGGGGGTCACCTGTCGAAGCAAATACTCCTCTTCTTCCTTAGAGATGAAGTCAGGGACATAGTAGATTAGAGGCGGTGCCTATAATGGAGAGACTGCCCTTAGGATGATGGTTCTTAACCTGCAGGATCTTGACCTCTTTGGGGTCAAATGACCCTTTCTCAGTGACCACCAAAGACCACAGGAAAACACAGATATTTTCATGACGATTCACAACAATAACAAAAGTACAGTTATGAAGTGGCAATGAAATAATCTTATGGTTTGGGGGTCACCACAACATGAGGAACTGTGCTAAAGGGTCTCAGTGTTAGGAAGGTTCAGAACCACTACCCTAGGATGAGGTCCTTTGCCCAACAAGAACCTATCATGACTGAGCAACCTTTCCTTTTGGAGAAAGACCAGACTCCAGTTCAAGAGAGTTGGGGGTTGGAGGTGGGCACAGGGCTAGACTCTGAGGAGAAGTGGGGCAGTCTGTCACTCCACCCCCACCTCACACCCTTTTGTCCCCACATTCCTCCTCTACACCCCCAGACCTGCCAACCTGCTCCACCCTGAATGGCTCCAGGGCTGGGACTCTGGCATCCTGCTCCTCCATGGGTACCGAATCCTTGTGTGCCGTCCTGTGGGGAGGGGTGCACCCTTAAGTCCCCAAGCCTCCTATCTTCAACTGTGCTAGCCTTCTTCCACTTCAGCAGAGGCCAGACCCTACTTTCAGACTTCCTATATACTTCAGCCTTCAAAACTAGAGTCTTCTGTTTCTCAAACGTCACCCAGTGAGCGCCCCGAATACCAGCGCCCTGCTACCAGCAGTCAGCATACTCCTCCAAGGCTCTGTCCACTGGTGCCCACCGAACCATACACGATCTTCCCAAGCCTCACAGAGAACATTCTCTGAGCCCACACAAGAAGACTTTCTCGAAAGCTCCACACGGGCCCCAGAACTCTGCAACCGTAAGCATAGGTATCTCAGAGCCTAAGGACCCTCCTCTCACCTCAGCCCCTTCAGATCGAAACACCCCTGCTCCCCTAATCTGAGCTTTCTCAGACTTGTCAACCCCTGGCCTCCTCTGATCTCTCCACTCGGGACCCGCTCTGACTTCCCTTGCCGAGTGGTCCATTCACTTCGGCACCCCGGGACCTGAGCCAGACTGCCAAAGCTTCTCCCCTCAACCCCCGAAGAATCTCTCAGTCCCCCGACTGAGTGTTAAGATTCCACACTCTGAGCCCCCTTAGACCCCCATTTTCAGCCCTTTGGACACTCACCTCTACAGACCCAGACACCTCCCCCTCCCCCCAAAAAAAAACCCAAAAAAACCCGAAAAACAAAAAAACCTGACCGTCCACAGTGTCTCTTCCAATTTCCAGACTCAACACCCTCATGCTCGCCCGCCCCCCAGTCACTTCCGCCCCGTCTTCCTGACGCAGAACATTTTAGACCACTGAGCATACTCGAAAAACCTCCGGGCCCGCCCGCCAGCCAATCGACGCGCTCACTCGGTAGCTGCCATCCTCGCTCAGGGATAGGCTGCGTCCTGCACTCAGGGACGGGACTTCGTCCGGTTCCTACCAATTAGAACTCCAGACCCGAACGACGCCTCCAGCCCGACCCTGCCGAGAATCGCAGTGAGGGAGACCCCAGGGAAGGAACCCGGAACGCTAATAGTCTTGTGCAGGTCAAGCTGTCACTCTTACGCCATTGACGCCGGGAATTGACTTTAAAGAACGGCCTTTCTCCCCCATCCTTACCCAGCGAGGGCACAGGGCAGTAAACCCCCAGAGACCTGACACCAGAAGGCCATAGAAACGTCTTTATTGAAGAGGACAGGAGTCATGCTGAGTTTGGGGACCATGCAGTGAAGGGGCAGTTGTGAGCTGTCCTTGGTGATCAGGGCCCCAGGTGTGCTCTGGACCCACGGGGCCTTCAGGTTCTCCCTCGGGCTGTTGGTCTGGCCCAGGTGCTGTAAGGTCCTTTGGGGCCGATGACTCAGTGTCTTGGACCTGTGACCGGAAGGTAGATTGAAATAGGGACTCCAAGACTCGGGGTCCTGTGAGAGCCCTGGGGCCCTGCACAAATTAGAAATCAGAGATTTGGGACTTGGGGGTTCCCTTGAGGATGGGGCCCGAGAAATTTGGAGTTTGGGAGATCAGAAGATCCATGGACTGAGGACATTGGAATCCTCTCTATTCTTGTTCCAAAGGTGGGAGGGACCTCCTGTGGGGTCTCCTGGTGCCTGGGAGTCAGGTTTGAGATATCCTGAAAGCCTGGGATGTTCTCCTAGCAACAGGTTCCTTCCTCCCGGTCCTAAGGACCTTATGGTTGGGGGTTTCCTGAGAGTTTGAATTTGGGGTCTTAAATTTGGGATTCCCTGGGGATTTGAAGATTCTGTGACCTGGGTAGGGGGAAGTCTTGGGAATTAGAAATTTGGGGCTTTCTAGGGATTGTAGGAGTTGGAGGCATCGGGAATTGGGGGTATATATATATATATATTCTCTGGAATTTGAACTCCCCGGAATTCTAGAATGGGGGGGTCTCCAAATTTGGGGATTCCCCCCAAGGGGGAAGTTATTACTTTTAAAAAATAGAGAATTTTCTGGGAGCCTTGGCCAGCACAGGGACTGTGGGCCATATGGGGTGGGCTTCGTACAAGGCACTGGGGTTTTCTCAAGGGCGCAGAGGGCAGGAAGACTTGGTGTCCTGTAATTTATGCTTCCAGGACTGGTTTGGTGTTTGCAAATTGGGGGTGACTGGGCTGGTTAAGTGGGTATCTTCTTCGGGGGTGAGAACGGGGTCTTAGTGAATGGGGTATCTGATAAGGAGATTAGCGTATGGGGGCTTTCAGGTGACCTTGGTGTTACAGCATCTCGAGGAGACTGATGTTCAATGGGGACGGTGATGTGGACGGCTGTTCTGGAGGTATGACCTATGCTTAAGGAGAATGGGGGTGGGCCTCTGATCCACTGCTGAGTGACCCGAGAATGTCCTGTTGTGGAGAGGGCCAGCATCACCTGGGTGATGTGGAAATCTGTTTATTGGGGGAACTCTGCTCTGAAGGGTAGGGGACAGGGACTAGCCTGAAGGTGCTACTCAGGGAATCTCTTTTGGGGTAACATGAGGTCTGTGTTTGGGGAGCTGTCATGGGAGATCTGTTAACAATGGGACCTCAGTAATCGAGGGCTGGCTAACAGGGGGTTTCTATTCTGGAGGTACCACTGGGAGTTTCTATCTTGGGGTGACTGGGGGGGCTCCTTGAGTCAGGAGATGCTAGAGGGGATGCTGTCTCTTTGTCAGGTATCCAGGGCCTTTAGGACTGCATCTCCGCCCTCAGCATCCAGGGAAACCAGCAGCAGAAGAGTAATCTGAAAGAGGGAGAAGCAGATCACATGGGGACACAGGCAGGGACATCCGGCTCCCTCATCCACTCCTGTGTGTGGCACTCTGCCTCTGGCTGTGCCTTCTTAGGCTTGTGCAGTGTGTGTATGTGTGTGGTGTGTGTGTGTGTGGTATATGTGTGTGTACATGTATGGGTGTGTGTGTGGTGTGTGTGTGTTTGTGTGTGGTGTATGTGTCTGTACATGTATGTGTGTATGTGGCATATGTGCATGTATGTGGTGTGTGCATGTGTGTGTGTTAGGGTCTCTACTTCCTTCGGCTGAAGTCTCCAGAAGTCAGTCAAGCCCTTCATTATAAAGATGGTCTGTCTCTCTCTCTCCCTCCCCCACTTCATTGTTGTTGTGAGACAGGGTCTCATTGTATACCCTAGGCTAGTCTCAAACTGAGGACAATCCTGCCTCAACCTCCCCATTGCTGGACACACTCTACAAGGCTGGCATGTTCTCTCTCTCTCTCGTGTTGCGTTTTTTTTTTGTTTGTTTGTTTGGTTTTTATTTTTTCAAGACAGGATTTCTCTGGAGAGCCCTGGCTGTCCTGGAACTCGCTCTGTAGACCAGGCTGGCCTCAAATTCACAGAGATCCACCTGCCTCTGCCTCCCGAGTGCTGGGATTAAAGGTGTGCAACACCACCCAACACCACCATCTGGGATTCTTTTTAAAAAAATGATTTTTATGAGACTGTGTCTCATTGTGTAGCCCAGGGTGCATGGAATTCTTGATTCTCTGGCCCTCTGGGTGCTGGGATCATAGGCATGCACCACCACATCCAGTACTCACAACTTAACTTTCATTTCCAGCCCACGTAGGGCCGTGGACACCCATAGCCAATGGCCTTGTAGATATCTCTAACATTCTGCTAGACAGTTTGCCACGCACCTGGAGATAGAGTTCTCTGATGCAATGTCCTTTGGGGTCCGGACTGTTGTGAAGGTGCGTTTGGGCTGTGTCACTAGACAGGAAGGCAAGGTTCCCAGTGAGGTGACAGTAGACTCAGCCGGGTTATCATCACATGCCCTACTCTGTCATAATATCTATCGATGTCTCCAGGCCTTGACCAGATTCATTCAGTTGCCATATGCATATGAACCTCCGGTCATTAATACTTGCTCTGCCTCCCCCCACCAATAATTACCCACACCTCCAAAACATCCAATAAATCCCACACTCCCCATGCCTGCTTAGAGCCTTGGGTTTTGTTAATTAGGCTGCTTTTCTAAATGCTTTTTAAAATGTGTAGTTAAGGTTCGTCTTAAATTCATGATCCTTCTCCCTCAACTCCATGAATGTTGGTCTTATAGATTTGTGTGTGTGTGCATGCACATGAATTGATGTTTTGCCTGCATGTATGTCTGTGTCAGATTCTCTGGAACTGGATTTACAGACAGTAGCAGGCCACCATGTGGTTTCTGGGACTTGAACCCGGGTCCTCTGGAAGAACCAGTGCTCTCAACAACTGAACCATCTCTCCATCTCCACAGATAGTCTGTGTTTTTTTCTCAGTGCTAAGGATAGATCCCAAGGCATTATGCATGCTGAACCATACCCCTACCCCAGGTCCTCATTGGGACTTTTTTTTTTGGTTTTTGAGACAGGGTTTCTCTGTGTAGCTTTGGAGCCTGTCCTGGAACTAACCAGGCTGGCCTCCAACTAACAGAGATCCACCAGTCTCTGCATCCCAAGTGCTGGGATTAAAAAGGTGTGCACCACCACCATCTGGCTCTCACTGGGAGATTCTAGGCAGGGGCTCTACCACTAAGCCACAGCCACAGCCCCTCACTGGGGGATTCTAGGCAGGTGCATACCAGTGAGCCACCCCCCCCCCACTGGAGGATTCTAGGCAGGGGCTCTACCACTGAGCCACACCCCAGCCCCTCACTGGGGGATTCTAGGCAGGGGCTCTACCACTGAGCCACACCCCTAGCCCCTCACTGGGGGATTCTAGGCAGAGGCTCTATAACTAATATAACTAAACTATATTCCAAACCGTCATAGCCTTGTTAACCTTCCCTTATCTACAGTACCAATCTTCCTGGGACCCTATCTTAGATTTTTCTGGGCCACATGAATCAAATGAAATGCCAGAGACTGTTACTAACATACCTGAGAACCTACAGCCCTTCTCCCAAGACCCATATCACTCCCTGCATCCCAGCCTCCAACTCACTTGTCACTTGATGCACTTTTTTGGCTCCAACACTGTCTCCAGGGGGATCGGTGGATCCACCAATCCTGGGGAGACACAGAAAATTCAGAGCCATGAAGGATAGGAGCCGCACCCCAGAGAGCCCCAAAAAAGAGCTATAGTATAACATCCGCCATGCTGTCCCGCCAGTCCAAGAGGAGGCCATCTGAGGGGAGATGTGGGCTCTAGGTGACTTCCCAAGTTGGGGGGCAGAGTGAGACTCACCTCTGGATGCGCGAAGCTGGTGCAAAGACCCCATGTCGTGGGGCGCAGGTAAAGTACCGAACTCCAAACACAGAGCCGTCATGTTTGCCTGTGGGCTGGTCCAGCTCAATGCCATACCAGTAACCTGTGGCAGGGTGTAGTGAGGAGGCCTTAACCTCAGTGCTGAGGATGGAACCCAGGCCCTTACACATCAGAGCCACGCCCCAGCCCATACTCCCACCTCACCTGGAGCAAAGTCAGTTTTCCCATAGAAGCGCACGATCCCCTGCTTCTGGCCCGCGACAAGGACTTGGTCTCCAACTTCAGCTTTGGCCCCTTCACGCTGCTGTAGGCTGCCCAGAGATGGGGAAGATGGCGACTTCTTCTTCCCTGGGAATGGAAGGTAAATAAATGTAGACCAAAGGAAAACCTGAGACAGAAATCAGGAGCCCCAAAATTTTCCTTTGAAAATGCAGGGAAGGGAGCTGGAGGTGTGGCTCGGGAGAGTAGCACTTGCCGAGCGGACCTCAAGTCCCAAATGACGTTCTCAGCATGACCAAGAATTAAAAGGAGTTGAAGGCAGTGGTGTACGCCTATAGTCCCAGGACTCGGGAGACTGGGGCAAGACCAC